ATTTGGGGGCGGCGCCCCCCATTTGCAAACTATGACACTTTCCTAAAATTTGTCATTTGCATATGTAACTAGAAGAGTTCTACTACAATGCATCAAAACCTGGAGTTATTTAACCAGAAAATAAAAAAATTGGAGGGGGTACTGTGACAGGCTTTGAATAATAGCTCTTTTTCATGGGTCACATTTTTAATTTTTTAACCTATTAGATATGCAAACTTTTCAAATCTTTCTATTGTGTTATGTGGCCTCAGTATTAGGCCTTTAATGCCGATTGACAAAATTTTTCTATGTCAAATAGTTTTCGAGTTGTGGGGGTTTTTGTTAAAAAAACAAAAAGTAGTCTAAGTTACCCCGCCGGTCTAAGTTACCCCATTTTACGGTATTTTTATTTAAGTTATTGTGGCCCTGTGAGTGTGGGTGTGGGATTTGTGGCTCTAATAGCGGTTTCAGCGTTTATTAGGCCGTAGGCCTGTTGCCAATTCTTAACATCGCAGAACATTCACAGCATTTTGTTGTTTTGAACTCGCAACTCACTGCTTCAAATCAATTCTGCTATTGCTTAACCGCCCGGCGGCCTCCTTGCCGATTCTGACCAGAAACTGGCGCACAGAGCTGTGATCGAACCCACGCCTCTCTGCGCCAATCTCTGAACTTTCCCCACCTGGCCACCCTGCCCGGTAATATCACTAATCACTTCATAAGTTCATTTTGAAAGCCCAACATGTTATTGAATTTTAAATCATGTTGCTCCAAAGTCTGGAATTTTGGTTTAGGTGAAAATATTTTGAGTTGAGTTGCAAACCTGTCATTTTTTTATAATGAACTTTACAGTTCAGCACAAATACACAATAACTAGGGTAAATGCACCATATTCCGACACAGGCAACACTGTGGGTAATTCCAACACTTCTCAACTTTTTCCTTTAACTTAAGCTTTGTCTTAGTTCCAACTTCCAGTTCCACGGATGCGTAGATGGTTAAAATAGTGACGTAATACTATTGAGTATTGCGCACAATATTTCCGCAAAACACTAGGTCTGGCAGGAAAATGTTTAGATCCTCAGAGGTTAGCAAAAGTCCATGTCACCCAGTGAGAACATCGAAACAAGTGTGAAAGGTGATAGTTGACCTTGCTCTACCAAATAGTGATAAACTGTGTAGAACAAATATTATGGTTTGAGACTGTTGAATAAGTCTGTGAATATATTAGGAATCCTTTAAGGATACTTGTATTTGCTGATTTTAAGTGGTAAATAAATTAATAGATGATTGATATCAGAGATGGTTTTAGACTTGTACATAAAAACTAATTCAGATTTCTTTCTTTTATTGCCTAACGTTAAGTTAGGCAATAACCTACCTTGATATGGAAGCCATAACCTACCTAGATATAGAAACCATACCCATACCCATTGCGGTGTTGGAATTACGACACATAGCCGTGACAGCCATGTGTCGCATTCTGAGGGCTCATGCAGAGTGTATGAATTCCAACACAGGGTGTCGGAATCATGAATTACGATTTTGAAGCGCTGTAGGAATTAGTCTCACAATATGCCACATTTAGTCACACACACGTCAGAATTCAGCAATTTTNATCTAGATGTGTATAAGAGACAGGGATAATAAGGGACACCCCTTCCACCATGCATAGTGGCAAAGCAGAGAGCTTTTTAGACTCTGCCTCAAGTTCTATTAGAGTACTATAAGTAGATCAAAAAATTATGATTGATACCAGCATTATCATACCTGAGAAATTGGTTTAAATATTGAGTAAATAAGGAAATTAAAAATGAACTTGTTCTAAAAAAAATCTCTGGTTTGCCCCTATGCCCCTGGAGCAATATGTGACACCCCTAAAAATTTTTCACCCCTAAACGAAAATTTTTGATTATATTCACCCCGCTCAGCGAACAAAATTTTACTTGGAGAAAAATTAGTGCATCACCAGTCATCACGAAATTATACAGAGGCTGTCATAGATAGAATTGTGCACCAGGCAACATAAAATGAAAAGTAATTAACCTAAACTAGGATTCATTTCTCCAAAAAATATGATGGTTGTCACTAGAATATTCCTTTCTGTTACAGGTATGTTTTTATGATATTTTGTTATAGTGACATCACTTGACCCAATTAAAATGGTTTGAAATTACAAGCCATCCTGTAAGCTTACAGATACAGATAAGTGCAATATGGCTGCTGATATGAAGCGCAAAGTGGACAAGGTCATTGCAAATGCTCAATGGAATGTTTATGGATACAGTAAAATTGGTAATATCACATCAATAATACAGTAATGTATGGATATGGTAATATTTCAATCAGTGAAAAACATTAAAATCACAGAAAATGTCAT